TGTAATTTCCACTTGACTTTTCCAGAAAAACAGAGAAGGTCAAGAGCAATAAGGTAAGTGCAACCTGTTTTTTACAACTCTATCCCGTGACAAACCCATTAGAACAAAGGAGTTCTTTAGAAGACTATTCAGCTTAATGGCCCTGGACCTGGAGTTAGCTCACGCTATCCCTTCCAACACTTCTAGTAAAGAGCAAAAGCACTTATCCCATTGCCAGACTGCCAGGCTGGTTTTGTCTATTAATGAACAACAACCCTAAGGATGGCAAAATGATAATATCTTTTCATTACAATTTTACCGTATATATTTAAATAACAAAGCTTTTTTATTTTCGGTAATAAAATTAGTACGAGTCCAAATGTAATTTTTCCTTCAAAGAGGAAACAACAAGATTACTTTGTGAAGCCTAAAGATTCCAGACAGACACAGTAGTATGTATGAGCTTTAACTCACCTCCGAGAGATTTCAACTCCTTCAGGACTCTAGCCCAGGGCACTGCCCCATTATCTGTGGGGAAAGACAGACAAGAAGAACAGAGTGCTAAAACCACCAAGCATGGAAAGACACCCAGTCATTCACGCTTAAGATCAGGGCGCCGAAAGAGTCCTCAGAATAAAAAGGAAGGTGTCCAGAAGAAGATTGAAAAGACAAAAACACTAAGTTTAAGAGTCTTTTCTTTGTTGGAGGAAAACAAAACATAAGCAGCAACACTAATAAGCTACAAGGACCAAGGAGAAGACAAAGCAAGGTGACAGCAGATGAGGAACGAGGCGGAAAGTGGCTATGGGTAGACAGTATACATTTCAAATTATATGATACTATTTTCCAGGTTCTATATATGAATTTTTTTTTTTACAGTAGTGGTAACCAAACCTATGGCCTCATACAAGCAAGGCAAGCACTCTACCACAGAATTACAGTCCCCTTAGCCCTTAGAAAATGTAAAATATAAAACTGGTGGGAGAAAAAAAAATCGAGAACCGATACAGTTCATTAATGTGTTACGTGGTTTACACACAACGACTCAGGAGACCGATGGGTGCTGTGGATTGGGCTTTGATTAGAGCAAAACCATTCTTTCAACATGGCAGGGGTTCGCAGAGGGCAATGGCCCTCAAACCACGTATGTGGGTGTAGTCAAGATTTCTGTATACTAGCCTTTTATTTTGATGCATTTTCAGAGTTATAGAAACTGGGAGATACAGTGTGATGAATTCTCACAATTCTTTTCATCTTACAATATTTGTTTTGCCATCCACCCGGACTTGTATCAGTCTCAACACACACAAACACTATACAGCCGTACTCAAATACCATCAATGCTCCCTCAATGCTCCCTTGTTGTCACTGACCGCTGCGAAGGACTGATCGTCAGCATAGGCCAGCACCCCAGTCTCTGTCTCTCACCATTTTCACAAGCCACTTATTTTGTAATATAATCTTCAGTCTGGGTGAGAGCCTTTAAACTTCCCAAGCCTTTCAAGCACTGAAAGTTTTTGATTTCCCTCTCAAGTTTATTAAACCGCAGTCTGGAAACTCCCGTGGCTTTTTAAGGCTTACCGTTCACTGGTAGGGTTTTCAGTAGCTTCATATACTCTGAATCATTAAACTCAATACCCAATTTTCTCAGCCTATTTTCCAGGTCACTGACACCAACCTTTTCACCTAAAAAGTTAGGAATATTGAGAGGTGGATGTATTAACAACCTCAGATTTTAGACCGAATAACAAAAGCAGAACACTGTCTTCCACACTGCTGTGGGCTGGAGGAAACTGGGATGCCGAATGTTCCTTTACTAATCATATACACAGGCTCTTTTTTAACTCGAGGAAAACTAAATTCAGCTTATTACTATAAAATCAACCCTTAGAGTAGCTAATATAAATAATTTTCTAAGAAAGAAATCTATGCTTCTGTTAATGTTGTAATTGTCAACAGTGTTAATGAAATCCTAAAAAATTACGGAGCACCATGTACTGAGCCTGTGGATTTCAGACAGAGATTAGGAGGACAGCTTCCATAGAATGCAGATTTCTTACTAAGACATAATCCTATAGGTATTTTTGTACTGTTTTTGCCATATTTTGACAAATTTATGCACTTTAAGCAGTCTTTTCTATTGGAAAACTTCTATTAGGAGTTTTTTTTTTCTAATTCCAGAGCAGTGTGGAAAAACAACAGAAAAATACTAATTATTATAATAGTTTGAAGGCTTTAGTTTGGTAGGAATTAATAACTAACCTGTGAAAACTTTTGCTTCATTCATTATATTTTTAATATCAACTGTCCCATCAGCTGCAAGATGACAACAGGGATATAGATGAGAAATGAGCAAGATTTAATAGCAATTATTATTACATTTTTCTTCTTCATTAGTGTGAAACAAAAAGGTTTTAATCCCACAATGAAGCTATATTGACAATATAGCTTTAAGATATTAAAACTTAAATATCTTAAGTATCTAGCAACACAAGGAAATGCATTCTGTTTTTAGCTGCTTTTTAGCACTTTAATTGTGGGTGAAATCCCATTACTTCGCTAGACTACAGGAACAAAATTTCAAAAGAAATTTATGCTACATTTCAACACTTTAAATTTGGAAGCTATTAATTCCTATGGAGTTTGCTCATATCCATAATCTATGCAATAACTTAAGGGAATAGAACTCACCAATGCTTTGAATTACACATAGAAGTTATTAATGTCACATATGAGTGACAGCCTTTCTATACCAGAATTTAGAGGGTTTTTTTTTAATTTTTTTTTTTTTTAATTTTTGAGACAGGGTTTCTCCGTAGCTTTTTTTGGTTCCTGTCCCGGAACTAGCTCTTGTAGACCGGGCTGGCCTCAAACTCACAGAGATCCGCCTGTAGAGGTTTGTTTTTAATGACTACTTGCCTATCATTTACCTGGTACTAAAACACAGAATTTAAAATACAAGCTATGTCTATACAACAGGACTCAAGCACGAAATTCTCAAAAAAAAAAAAAAAGAGATAGGAAGGTGAGCATTCAAACAGACTAGGCTCCCACAAAGCCAGTACATACAGTATGATCAAAACCCAGTGCCATTGTCCTTGGCTTCTCAGTCAGCACTCATTGTCCGCCACGTTCAGAGAGTCCGGTTTGATCACATGCTCCATCAGGCCCAGTTCAGCTGGCCTTGGTGAGCTCCCATTAGATCAGCCCCAATGTCTCAGTGGATGGGTGCACCCCTTCCTAAACCTGAATGGAGGGGGAGGACTTTGGACTTCACACAGGGCAGGGAATCCTGACTGCTCTTTGGACTGGAGAGGGAGGGGGAGGGGAAGTAGGAGGATGGGGGAAGGAAATGGGAGGAGGTGGAAATTTTTAATAATAAATAAATAAATAAAAAGAAAAAAGAGATAAAAATAAATAGAGATGACCTAGGACAACTGAGATTTTAATTAGTTAGGTAAATCTGTCGCTGTAATGTTTTGTTGTAGTGCCTCTTTAAACCTGGTAAAAACAAAACAATACGTGTGTGCATGTATGAATGTTTGTATGAATGGATGTAGATGAACTGAACTGTGCCAGATCTTTGAAAAATGGGATCTAGCTACAACATGCTAAGCAGATTTACTGGTGTCTCGGTGGTCCTCGACAAGGAACTAAGTAGATGGTGTACACTGCCTCTTTAAAACTTTGTTTCTGTTTTAAATTGACAGGAGGAAACAATCTCTGAAAATTTGAAGCCATTTAAAGAGAAGTTTGATCCTTATACTTCCAAGATGATCTTTGTTTCTCCCTTCAGTTATCTTTAAATTGTCTTGCATCACAATACACTTTGCTTCATATCATCCTTCCTTGTCTCATCTTGGCCCTTCCTTATCCCTACTGACACCTCAGCAATATATACAATTCACAGCAAAAGAAGTCATTCTCTTGATATAAATACTAACAAGGATTTGGTCTTACTTTGGTGTGTGTGTGTGTGCATGTGTCTGTGTCTATCTATATGTATATTGTCTCTGTGTGTGTGTAGTGTCTGTCTATGCACATGTCTATGTGTGTGTGTGTGTCTAGTGTCTGTGTGTGTACATGTCTATGTGTCTGTGTATGTCTATGTGTGTGTGTGCGTGTGTGTGTGTATGTATGTATGTATGTATGTGTGTGTGTGTGTGTGTAGACCAAAGAGATCATGGCTGTTATTTCTCAGATGCTGCCTATCCTGATTTCTGAAACAAGACCTTTCTCTGGCCTAAAACTCACAGATTATGCTTGGCTGGCCGGCCTGGGAGCCCAAGGTATGAGCCAGTCTATCTCTACCTCTCCAGTGCTGGAATAAAAAGTGAGTACATGCTATAATACTCAACTTTTTAATTAAAAAAATGAGTACAGGAGTTTGTCCTCATGTATATTTGCATGCATGGTGCCCGTGGAGGTGAGAAGAGGGCACTGGAGTCATTGGAAATGGAGTTACTGATGACTGAGAACCACATTGTGAGCACTGGGAATCAAATTCAGGTCCTCTGGATGAGCAGAGCCATTTCTCTAGCTCTTATACTCAGCTTCTAAAATGTGCGTTCTGGAGACAAACTCAAGTCCCCATGCTTGTATGGGAACTTTACCCACTGGGCTATCATCCCAGCCTAAGCTCTGAGTTCTATTTCAAAGTTTTTTCAAATGACTCGATGTCAAGATTCCAAAAAGATTAGTATGCACATTCACGCAAGGTTATAACATGATACTACTAATAGCAACAACAAAACTAGCACAGTCTGGTCCTCACAGAACTTTATAATTAAGCTTAATATGCCCTTTAACAGATGAAGAAAGTGAGCACAGAGAGAAGATCAAGACAATATGAGTATCACAAGTAGAGCCAGGATGCAAATCAGGCAGCGGCTCCAGAGTCTGCCCCTTTACAGCCTTGCCCTTCTGGTGCAGAATGGTAGGTAGGTGCTTACCACTGACAGGCAGGCTTTGTGTTAGATCTTTAAGTTCTTTTTCTGAGATGTTTATCCCCATGTTCTTCAGAAACGTGTCCACCTTCCCAGTCTTGACTTTCCCTTCTTAAAAAGAGATACAGGTAAGAGTAGAACATATTAACTTTAAAATATGACAAAAACAGATGACCCTATTCTTTGCTATTTGGATAACCAGATGATTGCTGTTGATTGAACTTTCAAATTGATCGACTTTGCTGTTTATTAAATTTTCTGAAAAAAACAAGTCTCTTTAAAGTTGTAAATATTTAGATTCACTTGGGAATCTTATAAACTTTTGGGAATTTCTGAAGGAATGGGAAATAAATCTCTCTACAATTCCAAATTATTGGCATGTCTAGTTTCACAGAAGAGATAATAAATTTATAAAGAGCAGAGCAGAGGCAACTGGGAGCTGAAGAAAGGAGGGAATAGTAGTGATTCCGTTACAGGTACAAAGTTTCTGTTCACAGTGACAGAAAAGCTCTGGAAGAGAGTAGTGGTCATGGCTGTACAACACTGTGAACTCACCTTACGATACTGGGTTGTACATTTAAAATGGTAGATTTCTCTATGCATCTCTTACCACAATAAAACTGGCAAATCACAGGGGTTCTGCAGATTTTAATGACAGAGACAAAGCGCTGTGCCTACCAGAAGGGGGTTCAGGTCTGAACGCCCAGGAGCGAAGGAAAAGCTAACCACGAGCCCCCTTGTACATCTGCTTTTCTATCACAACCCCTTTTACCTGGAAGTGTCTTCAAACCCTCCAGCAACCTCTTCTGATAGGTTTTTTTACCAGCTGTAAGAACAAACGATTTAGGCCAAGGAGAAATCAATAATTACGACAGTATAAAAACCATCTCAGAAGTATGACTCTAGACCGATTTTCCATTTTCTTCCAATTAAAAAATATGTAGCAACATTTTTGTTTGTTTGTTTGTTTTTTGGTTTTTTCAAGACAGGGTTTCTCTGTAGCTTTGGTGCCTGTCCTGGAACTAGCTCCTGTAGACCAGGCTGGTCTCGAACTCCCAGAGATCCGCCTGCCTCTGCCTCCTGAGTGCTGGGATTAAAGGCATGCGCCACCACCGCCCGGCATGTAGCAACATTTTATGGTAGAGAACTTTTAAAAAGGTTGGCATGTTTTTCCTCTTTGACACACACTAGGCAGACATTTTGCTGCTGTGAGATTAACTTGAGAAAACCAATTAAAGGGAGAAAAGATTTATCTTGGTTCATAGCTAACTGGCCCCTTGCTTCTGCAACAGAGATGAGTGAGAACACCACAGCAGAAATGCCTGACATAGCCGGGATGCTCTTCTCCTAGCCGGGAGGCTCTCAGGGATGCTGAGATGTAAAACAGAGACTGTGCTTTCATTTCCCAGACACCCTGACCTGAATAATTACACAGAAACTATATTAATTACAACACTTTGCCCAACAGCTCAGGCATAGCCTTAGTTAGCTCTTACATCTTAAATTAACACATTTCTATTATTTTATATTTTACTACGAGGCTCATGGTTTGTTACCTCACATCTTGCTTCTTGGGCATCTGCCTGACTCAGCCTTCCTTTCCCTGCATCCAGTTTAGTTTTTCTGCCTAACTATATTTTGCCTTGCCATAGGCCAAAGCAGTTTCTTTAATAAACGACGGTAATAAAACATATTCACAACATACAGAGGGGAATCCCATATCAGAGAGAGAGAGAAAAGAGAGAGAGATTCCTGTGTAAGAGCTTCCATTTATTTCCACCACACTTTGTTCCATCTGTGACCCCAGATGTAGGTGCCACATTCAGGGTGGGTTTCCTCTTCCGTTAATCATTTCTGGAAACACTCCTAGGCACACTCCTTATGTGATCTCTCAGACCCTTCTCCAAATGACAAGGATGATTAGCCACTGCACTATGTAAAGCCAACATGATGCTGAAGTATGTAGCCTATTATCTCTTCTTTTGCTTTTTATATTCTGATGCCCAGTACACACTCCATTTCATTTTCCTCGCCTTTTTGCTTAACATTAAGCATGGCTGTAAAATTAATAGTAGCAGCAGGCATTTCTTGCTGTTGAATCATAGTAATGACACCTTTATTTCTAAGTGAAGAACTAGCTGCACAATTATGTCTTCTTCAGGTAGGACTGAGCTCTGTTTTTTTTTGTTTGTTTGTTTTGTTTTTGTTTTTGTTTTTGAAAGACTTTTCCACTCAGAATCAAACAGGACAGTGTTTGTATATAAGCTTGCAAATCTAAGCTTCCCAAAAGGTTACATGGAGGACATTCTTAATAACAGAACTTTTAGGCTGGATGATTCTTGTGTGCAACTATGCCTTACCCACTGAAATTCTCTATTACTCTATGGTTGTCAGTAATCTATGGCTTCATCCACTAGTTACCAGTGTTACCACTAACCGGTCCCTGCCAGTTGCAACACTAAAAAACTGTCTCCTAGATGTTATTAGTGTTGACTAAGGAAAAAAAAAAAAAACCTGTCCCTACTGAAACAGTTGTGTCTATTTTAAACACTTACCATCAGCTTGTAACTTTCTCACCAGCTGCAACAATTCCTTTTCTGTAAGTTCTAGCCCCATGCTTTCCAGAAAGTCTTCTAAATCACCCATATCAATAGGTTCTCCTACAAATAAGAAATAAAAATTTAAGAATTTTAAAAATTACTTAAATATTCTCATCTTAGCATTGCTCTCAACTACTGTATCGAGAACAAAACTTCAAAACAAACACAAGTAAAATGTATCTTCCCATAATCATAATCATGGGGAAAGTATTACACAGTGTACAACTGTGTAGGGAATAAGACATCACTATGGAGCAGAGTGTTTTAGGTGGTCTATATTCATATATTAGCCAGTAAAATTTATTTTATTCTTTTTGTGATGCTCTATATCCCTAACTGAAGCTTTCCCTTATTATCAACCAGGACTCATTTAAACTCAGTAGTTATGAATAATGTTACTGAGAAAAACTTAAGAGAAAAAGCTTAGTTAAAGGCAAACAATCAAAATTTTGCATAGACGGGCTGGAGAGATGGCTCAGTAGTGGTTAGGGCATGTGCTGCTCCTCAGCGGACCTGGGTTTAATTCTGGCATTGATTAAGTGGCTTACAATTACCTGTAACTCTGGTTCCAGGAAATCTGATATCCTTTTAAGGCCTCCATGGGCACCAGGCACTCACATGCTATACAGACATACATACAGACAAAACATTCATATGCATATGTTTTGGCACAGAAATAGTAACTGTAGTATAGCTAATCCACATTTTAACTCTAGTCAATTAGAGATATACCACTTACTAATAAAAGGTAAACTATGTGAGTACTGGCAGCAACTATGGCAAAAGTATCATATGACCGAGTAGAACTGTTTACGCTCTTAGGTTCATTCCCAGTACTCTGTCACTTACCTCTCAATGCCTTTACTTCATCTAGAAGCTTCCTGAGATCAATCTTCTCCCCAGCTATGAGAAAAGACACAAACAACTAGAGGATACATATTTTAAATACACAGGATGCTTATTCCTATCTTTAATCAAAATCTAATCTTTTTGTTAATTTTTCTAAATTTTATATTTAATTTATAATTAAGAGAAACTGAGCCAATCTTCCATCAAAATAAGACTATATATGCCCTGGGTCATATGGCCTCTCATGTTACAAGAAATTATTTTGCCTTAGAAAGAGTATAAAGCCGGGCGATGGTGGCGCACGCCTTTAATCCCAGCACTCGGGAGGCAGAGGCAGGCGGATCTCTGTGAGTTCGAGACCAGCCTGGTCTACAGAGCTAGTTCCAGGACAGGCTCCAAAGCCACAGAGAAA